GGGGGGGGGAAACAGAGAATGGAAAGGAGGGAGGGAGTGGGAGAAGGAAGAGCAGAGAGAGGAAAGGGGGAGAGGGTGGGAGTCTTGGTGTATAACACAGCTTTGGGGGGCAAGAAACAAGTATAAGAGGGACTTGACCTAACAAATGCAATTAGTGTAACCTGGTTTCTTGTACCCTCAATGAATCCCCAACAATAAAGAAAAAGAAAAAAGAAAATCAAGAATTAATCTATTGTGAGATTGGAGTTAGAAAAATGAATGAATGAATGAATGAATGAACCAAGGAACGAACAAGCACATGGACAGATCAGCGAATAAATGGGTGGATGGATGGCCTTCATCGATTACCCTGTACCAGACAGTCTAAGGAGCTAAGTCTAATGTCCATTATTCTTCCCTGTAGGTCCTGGATAGCATTTACTTCAGCCGGAGATTCCACGTGCGCTGTGTGGCAAAGGCTGTGGACAGGGTGGGCCATGTGGGGACCCCCTTGAGGAGCAACATTGTTACCATCGGAACAGACAGTGCTATCTGCCACACCCCCGTGGTGGCTGGGACAGCCAGAGGCTTCCAGGCTCAGTCCTTCATTGCGACCTTGAAATACCTGGACGTCAAACACAAGGAGCATCCAAACAGGTCAGGGAGGTGGCGCCTTCCACCGTGGGTGGGAGGGGCACTCACGGCTTGGGTGGGAGGAGGACTCTCACGTATCTTTGGGTATTTCTAGGTTGGACAGTTCGACGGGTGATACTTCTGCAGAATGAAAATACAGAGGGTGCCGACAGATAGTAGGCACATTCTAAGCGATGTTATCTATGTGTTACTTTTCAAAGTTCTATTGAGGGTACCCTTGCTGATCAAGTGTGCCTAGGAATGTTATGAGCATCCGTTTTACCTGGAATTTGTATACTTTTGGGGAATGATTGATTTTACTTCCGGCAAGATTTCTTAAAATGTGTACAAATTTTTTGGCACCCCTGGTAGTGGTGATTAATGCCTTAGAAAAAGTTTGAATTCTTCAAAGACCCCTCAAGGTCTGGCCCCTCGCCCATCTTCCTGGCCTCACTTCCCTCACTGGTCATCGTCAGCTGCCCATCGATAGCACATTGGTGAAGACAGTCACAGATAACTTCCCAAGGGCTTTGGACGCTCAGGCTGTATCCTTCTGCCATGCTCTCACCACAGCTGCCCCCCACGTACTTCCACAGGCTGCTGTTAAATCCTCTGTCCTGCACTACTGACTAGCTCATGGCATCTCGCCTAGCAACATTCTGTCATCTCCCCCAGTTTAATTTGGAGGCCCCTCTTCCCAGCTCCTCTAGCTACGTATATGCTTCTCTGAGACCATTTTCATCATTCATTCTCTCTGCCCTTAGAGTAGATGGTAAGACCTTAGAAGCAGACACCATGATTATTTATTTTGCCTTTCTTTGACAGCTAAGAGACCTTGCTAAATAGCGACTGAACAGGTGAATAACAGCACTGTATAAACTGTGACTCAACTGCACTTATTTTTTCTTATCCCACCATTATTTTGATAGATGGATACTTTCTTTTTGCATAGCATAAAATAATTTGTATATGTGTATGTTTATTAACATACATGTTCATTAATATACATGTATGAGTGTGTGTTTATTAAAGATCATGGTATTTGAGTGTGTCCCTTTATGAATAACTGAGTTCAGAAAAATGTGTTCTTTTGCATTTAAAAAAAATGCAAATGTTTGGGCTTGGCACCCGTGCCCAGTGGTTAGGGCACTGGCCACATGCACTGGGCCAGTGGGTTCAAACCCAGCCTGAGCCTGCTAAACAACAATGACAACAAAAAAATAGCCGGGTGTTGTGGCAGGTGCCTGTAGTCCCAGCTACTCGGGAGGCTGAGCCAAGAGAATCGCTTAAGCCCAAGAGTTTGAAGTTGGGCAACATAGGGAGACTCTGTCTCAAAAAACAAAAACAAAAAAACCAGTTTTGAATGTTTTGCTAAGAATATGCAAATCCCTCTTTTTCTTGCTAACAGAATATTGCTAAGGAGCAATAACAGAAGCACCCAGGGAACTACTGACCCCTTCCTAGGAAAAGGGCCCCCTCTTCACATCCCAGTTTTTGATTCCTCTTAAAAATGTGCTCTTTGCTTGGAGAGACACACTGTATAAACTCAAAATGTACTTTCGATGGACATGCTCAAAATTTAAACTGGTACAATGAAAAAAATGCAGCTCGTAAATATAGTTCTGTTGTGTTGCAGTGTTAACCCATGTTTACTAAGCTCGTATTTTATTTAGAATTGAATACGATACGCTCTGGGGAAACAAAAAGGTGGAGGACATGCTCCTCCTCCTCATAGTGGAGAGGCAAGATAAACAAAGTCTGGAAACAAGCAGCAGCCAATATAAATAAGTTACAGGTTTCCTGGTGCAAAAGCTACCTAGGTGCCGGGGACATAGATCAAGGGACAGCAAGCTGCAGACTGCGGCTGGCTGGTGAGGTCCAGACACGTGGGTGGTGTTGATGGGACTTCGAAGGAGGGAGGAGAGAGAAGGCGGTTTTCCTGTGAATAGCAGGACACTTTGATTTCTAAGCTATCTGACTGGATGGATGAGTTGGCCTTGGAATGTGAAAGCTCAGTAGCGTCTTTTTGACTCAAATAAATACTTCTAAAAAAGCATGTCAAACCCTACCCAACTCCCACGGATACTTGTGACAGAGCAGGGGAGCAGCTTTAGCTCCAGAAGAAACAAGGGTTCCATTGTAAGCAAAAGAAAACTTTAAAGTAATTTGTGGTTGTGATGTTATCTCTTCTTGTATCAAAAAAAAAAAAAAAGAAAGAAAGAAAGAAAATCTATGGTTCTGGATTGCCATCAGTGCTGAGTCTGGAGGATCTCTTAGAGGGGAGAACAGCCCCAACCCCGTGTACATCCACACCCTCGTGTTCAGATAGAAATCCCACAGGAGGAGCTTCAGGAAAAACATGGACAGTGCACTGGTGACGACAAATCAGGTGGTGAGAAGGAAGTGCCCCGGGGCTGCCTGTAGCACGGCCTAAGGTCCTTTCCTGCCCTTTCCCCCCAGGATCCACATCTCGGTGCAGATCCCGCACCAGGATGGAATGCTGCCCCTCATCTCCACCCTCCCACTGCACAACCTGCACTTCCTGCTGTCTGAGTCCATCTACAGACACCAGCATGTCTGCTCCAACCTAGTCACCGCCCACGACCTGCGAGGCATCTCAGGTGAGTGGCGAGTTCAGGGCTGGTCTCCCCTCGCCAGCCCAGGGCTGTGACTTTCAGGATTTGGCCGTCTGAAGAGAGCCCTGCTTGTGGCGGTTTCTGGCCCTCAGAGCCTGCGTGTTGGTGGTTCTCCTTCCTAGTGAGCGTCCCAGGAGGCAGCTCAGATGAGGAAGTGAGTAGGGAACATGGGGGCTTCGGAATCGGGCTGACGGACCCATCCTTGCTCCACTGTCTGTACCACTGAACACACACAGCTCGAGCTCTCCACACCATGGATGTTTTCTTACCCATTTCTCAAGAACAACAATTGCCACCAGTCAAGGTGGGGATTGAATGCACTGACATTTTTAAAGTGGCTCCCCGGGCACATTTAGCTGGATCTGTGCTCCGGGTTCTGTTACAGCAGCATCTTTAGAAAGCCGCAGTGCAGGTGTTAGATATTGTGGGATGGCTTCTCCCGGAGCCGGAGCTGAGATGGAGTTTGAGGTGAGAGCTGTTCATTAGGGGTCAACTCCTGTCAAAGGGAGGGGGTGGGACAGGGTTGAGCAGAGGGAGACGTCAGACTGCGTGCAGACAGGCAATGCCACCCGGCACTGCAGAGAGCTCAGAGAGACTGGTCCTATTGGCCCAAACGACCAGGCCCTTCTAACCCACCTCCTCTGTCACTGGATGTAGGCTGCCCCCAAAAGGGGACGACTTTGGGTGGATCAACTCAGACCTGAAGGAGCCGACAGCTGAGGCCACCCTCTCTGCGTTCAGCAGAGCAGAGCAGAGGTTTCACTTCACAGAGAATCCTGTGCCTTTCCATCTGCCTTAGCAAGTGCACATCAGATGCCTGCTTACTCTTCACACCAATGAATCATTTAACAGCATTTCTGAAGACAGGAATGCACTCATGTGCTCCTTCATATTCCTGAAAGCCTCCCTGTTGGTCACAATGGTCTTTGTACAGTAGGAATTAGTTGATCGTATATTATTCATAGGTCGCTGAGCTTCACATGAAAGTTTAATTGGTCCGCGTACGGAGCCAGTGGAAGAGAAATGCACACTGTGTTTAAAGACCGAAACTTTGTACCTCTTCCTACTTAAAAACGATTACATTCCAGACATGTCAACTGAGTACCTAGTCGTCATGAGGGAGAGGGCAGAATGCTGGTGAAAAGAATTCTAAGAGATGCCTTAACTCCTTTTAAAATACTACAGTCATTTTCAGTGCTGTAAAGACTTTAACCCTAACATTTTGAGATTGTATCTGTATTAAGCCCTCTGTGGCATAGAGGTCTCTCTAACTTAGAGCTATTCACTTCCTTAGCACCAGGCAAGCCCATATATTTTGCCTGTAACAGGTGAGGGTTAGTCAGGCATCGTTAGTAAGCTATTTATTTACCCTCGAACACAAAATGAAGACATTTTTTCCCCAAAGTTCAGACACCATAGGAGGGAGGAGAGTTAGTTTGCTGGCTTTCCCTGAAAGCCATTTTAAAAATTGGTTTTAAAATAATAATCAATGAATGATGGTACAGTAAATCCATTTATCAATGAATGATAAATATCAATGAATGATGGTACAGTAAATCCATTTCTTCAGGGCTGGTGGTGATGTGTGTGAGGAGTGTGCCAGGTGTGACACGTGACGCTTTGGAGGGGTTTTCGTTTCTGCGTCCTGCCTTCTTCCTTCGTGGTATCCTAGGTTCACCTTTTCTTCTCAAGTTCCTGAGGTTGCTTAGTGGTAGAGTCCTTTGCACCTGGGCTTACTAGCTCCTCTCAACCCTCACTGTGGGTTCCATGGGACCCCTGGGTGTCTCTGTTAATAGAGTCTCAGATGGACAGAATGTGCTCTCAGTGGCAAAAG